GCTCCCTGCTCAGCAGGGAGTCTGCTTCGTCCTCTGACCCTATCCCCTCTCATGTGTTCTCTCTCTCTCTCAAATAAATAGATAAATAAATCTTTAAAAAAAAAAAAAGCAAATGGAAGACATTAAATATGATACTTTTCATCCCCGATACTTCCTGAATATTATTGAAAGGAACTTGAATGGATTAGACATTACAACTTTCAAGTATTTTACATTTGTGTCTTTTTTTGCCATTTACAAATATTTGTTTCTTGAGATTCCCATAGTAACTCTGTGAGATAATTGGATGAGGTGCACACATAAGTATTTTGTATTCATTCCTTCATAAAAAAAAAAAAAACCCACAGACATTGAGAACCTGCCACAGTATTTTTACAAAGTTTCACCTAAATTCAAAGGCAATGGGGAAAAAAATCAAGACAGTGCTTCAAGTTCTATTGGTGGTCACTCTATCCTCCACTGGTAATGCTCACAGAAGAAGAAAAAGCCAGTTGTATAAAAAAAAAAAAAAAAGAATGCCCCTGATGAATCGGAACAAAATATTAAGTTAGTTAAAACTTCATTCTTGAGTATGTCTTTTCATTATCTGGGAATGAAAATTCAGAAATGCATATAAAGCACTCCTGCTGTGCCAAATACAACAGGTGCTTTGAGGAATGGCACCTGTGCAACTGAGTGGCCAGCCCAGAGGCTGCTCTTCCAGGGCACACCACTTTTACCTGGAGAATGACTAACAGACAAAATTATTTCAGTGAGCCATATATTTTATAAATGAAGAATGCAGGCTATCACACAATCAAGGTCCAGTGGGTTTTCATGTCAAAGAGTGTGAAAAGTTCATTGATATGGTTTTGGTTTCCACATCAGAGCTAATCTCTAAGGAATGACCACTTGTGGAATTTTGGTGTATTATCAAAGAATATTTACAAATACGTGGGTTAGTTATTAAAATACTTCTTGGCATTTCCAACTGCATGTCTCCAGGGACAGAATTTTCTTCATAAACTTCAACAAAAACAACATATTTGACAGGTGGAATGCTGAAGCAGATATGAAAATATAGCTATCTGCTATCACTCAAGAAATCTGCAAACATAGCACAGTGCCACTCATCTCACCACATTTCCTTTGTATTTTAGAAAACAGTTATATTAAATGTGATTTATGTTAACCTGTAATGAGTTTATTATGGTAATTTTTAAATAGATTATTACATAAATATACTTTTTAAAATTCTGTTTTAATTTCTAATATAGTACATATTGATAGATATAACTCATACTAACAAAACCTCTTTGAGGTCCTTTATAAATTTAAAGAGTATAAAGGAGTTTCCAGGGCACATACATTTTGAGAATGATGGCATATAAAAGGAGACAGTTGCCAAATGATTTTTATGAAAAGAGCTTTGAAATCTCTGACCGTCCAAGAAGTTCTCCCAAAACATATTGTTGTCCCAAAGACTGAACTTTCATTCTGAACAATGGTTTCCCTTTAGTTAAATACTGTTCTCTCCATGTGGTCCTAAACAATTCTGTGTTAAATTATTTATGTCAAATTGGGTGAAGTGGTGGAAAGAGGTTAACCATTGGAGAAAAAAACAGAATATGTTTCAAAGGCTTTCTCTAGTACTTACTTAAAGGACATCAGCCTTGGCTAGCCCATGCGTAAAGGGGGGAGACTATTATATTACCCATTATTGTAGATCTATTTTGTTGCTAAATAGGAAAATATATACAAAATGCCTGTTACAAAGGGAGTCCTTAATGAATGTATGTGTCCTCTCTTGGTCTCCGCTATAAGTTGAACTAGATCCCTGGATCATTTTCCTGAGCAGAAGAAGCAAGTTGCAGGAGAATGGTCCAGGAGAGAAAGAAGATGATAAAAGGAATTATCTGAAAAGCTGTTGGGGGCTTAAAATGAATGTGCTTCATACCTTACAGGTCCCAGCTCCCAGGCAATCCCAGACTGAATCCCAATGATGGACGGTCCTTTCGTGACTTGTACCTCAGATTTCCTTCATTATGGATTCCCAATGTCACCATAATGCATATTTTGAATGTCCATTAAGCATTCCCCTTTTTAATAATTGAATCTGTTGGCATACACAGAGTCTGAGACATAGACAGTTTTTTCTTGCAATGGTGTTTGCAAACAATTTCATTGTTTGTTGAAGTTCTGAAGCATTAATTGGCTTTGGTCATGGCATGCAAAATCATCTGATGAAACATCAATATTAATTCTTGTTCAGACAGATCATTGAAAGGATATCAAACATATGCAATCAACCTGCAATTGATGACTTTTAATCCTTTTGTTACTCATTTTTGTACAAGGTTAGCAAGATAGTAGCTTCAACTTCACTATATGGTAAAGTGAGGGTTTTCTACATTTAGGGTTCACTTCAGAAACACCTTATTAAGTAATAGATGTAAAATTAATATTCATTACCTAACAACAAGTTATATTTTAACATATTTTTAAATTGTAAAATCAATATATGGTTATGTTAAAATGGAAAAACTGTATTTTAAATATGACAGGCTTTATTACGTTGGTTTTTTTTTTTTTTAGCTAATTCACTGATTGGTAAATCATAAGGAATGAAAGCTTAATGGTCACTGTGTCAGGGTCTGTCAGCAGTCTCATGTTGTATAAAACAGGTGAGTTCAGTCCTCGCTCTGTTCTCCCTGTCGACATACACTGTATCAGGCTAGCCTAATAGAACATAAAAAGATATTTGTATAAATCTACTTGACCTTGGAGAAGCTATTTACTTCTTTGAGCCTAACATTTGTCCTCTATAAAAACAGAGATAGTAATCTCATTCTTTTTTTTTTATAGTATCTATTTCCTTTTTTTTTTTTTAAAGATTTTATTTATTTATTTGAGAGAGAGAGAGCATGAGAGGGGGAGGGTCAGAGGGAGAAGCAGACTCCCTGCTGAGCAGGGACCCCGATGCGGGACTCGATCCCGGGACTCCAGGATCATGACCTGAGCCGAAGGCAGTCGCTTAACCGACTGAGCCACCCAGGCGCCCGAGATAGTAATCTCATTCTTAAAGATATTTGTCAGTGTGCATGTATGTGTATGTATGTGTGGGAGGTACATAAACCCAAATCTACATGAACACAGTCAACTAATTCCCTATGTTATTTCACTGAAACAACCAGGCAATTGTGTCTCTTCTTTCATGCTGCTATTCAGTGATGTGTTTACTCATTTCTTCCCAAGATTATGGCTTTGCGCAGCAGCATCGATGGGAAACTGCCATTCTCCTGTGTTTTTACTGGAAGGGAGGTAGAGGAGTGAGAGCCAAACTCCACTGGGGGTTACAGATGTTTTGAGAGTGCAAGTAGATTTTCACAGCTTCCAAGTGCTGAACGGTCCTTGCTAAACATCTTTCTATGCGTAATGATTGAAAATTTTCAACGGGAATAATTTTCCAGTTGAGAGAATAAAAGCAAAACAAAATTATTATGAGAAACAATGAAAATCCCTTTACACCTACAGATTTTGCTAGTCACTGTATCATCTGGGTGCTCTGAGCTATGGGTTAGGTGGGGGAACCTTCAGTCTCTGTAGGCCGCTCAGCCTCTTTGAACCTCACTGAGGGACATGAACGCCTGTCCCTCAAGGTCTATCACTACCCGTGTAATACACGGGAAGGAAAAAACATTTCCATTTGCCGTTCTTACACTTAAAATTTACAGGTTCTTCTCTTTCCTGTGGCCCCTGCTCAAAGGCAAGTCTCAGAGGATGCTCTTTCTCAACCTAAGGTGAAATTTCTAAGAAACAGGTTACCTCTTTCAAAAAAAAAAAACAGACACCACAGAAAACATAAATAGCAGAAGTAACTCCAAGGCAGGACAGCACCTACCGGGCAACTGGTGTAGTAAGTCTGGGGAGGAAGGGAGCTGAGCTACGTGTACTGCACAGACTCTCTTTGTCCTCTGAGCGTTAGAACATTCAGAGAGCTCAGCCAGCATGTGGCAAGCTGGCATAAGGGGTGGGGGTGCTGGTCGAGGGAGGGAAAAAATGGTATTTGTTATAATGTTGGTTCATGTCACATTTATGGGAATGGAACCAACCAACCAAACAACAACAACAAAAACAGTGGCTGGGTGTCATGCATGTGGCTCCTGAGTGGCAGCATCCCCTGGAGAGGTTTCTGCATGATCCTGCTCTGCCGGGGAAGCGGGTCCAACCGCAGAATGCCATCACCACTCAATCTCCTTGGCTTGTGAGCCGTGGGCCTGGGCATCCCAACAAAGGACCCTTCAGAGGGTCTCACTGGAACAATAAGTTTCCATGTGTCCAGATGACATCACCTTCAGGAAGCCCGAAGGAAAGGCATGGGCGGGAGGGGGGGCTAGTCCAAAGACTCGTTTCATTTCCAGCAGGAGCCTCAAATTAGCCTTTTTTCAAGGCTTTAAAAAGAAGAGCATCGAAATAATAAGCAGGGGGTTGGGTGGCGCTTTCAGGGAACACTACGCTGTTTTTATAAATAACTCGAAGAATGCTGTCCTTTAGATTTTCTTGGCTGCGGATACTAGTGTAGGAAGTAAATAGGGATGGAGAGCAACATCATCTTGCTGTGAATATAGACATTCCAAATAGGATTTAGGTGGGAAAAACCGTCTATGCCCAGAGAGATGAGCTTCTCATCCTTGATGTGTCTGCTGAGATACACAATCTGGGAACCGTGAGCGGAGCACCAGGACTGACGCTGTTGTAAAATCATGACTCGGGATTCAAGTCCCAAAAGACTTGTAACTGAGTGATAAGAACACTTGATCACGGGAAGCAAATCATTAGAAATCTGTGTACAGAGGTGAGAATCTATATTCTGAGCTTAAGGAATTATAATAAGGTTGCGTTTTGCCTATTATCAATATATTTCCCAGTTACTGTTCTCGAGATTCCACATATGTGTTTTAAAGAAAACAACCGAATTCCAAACTGCCAGCAGGAAATCTTAGGTTAAGTACCCTATTTTATTCTGTGACGCGGAATAAACTTGACTAGTGGGAGAATAAGGAACTAGATAAAAGTGAAGAAGGGGGAGGAGGAGGAAGGAGTGTAGTTATCTACTTGCATATCTTAGGAAATTCTTCCAAGGAAAAAAAATGATGTAAAATTTGTGTTTTCTTGAATCTGGTATCCTAAACCTCTTTTCTATAAGAAACACCAAGTAAAAAGGCTTAGAATAGCTGATTCTTTTAAAATACATTTATTCTCAAGAGGATTTTTCCTTTTCCACTATAAACAAAATTCAGTAATTGCCCTGGACCTTATATATTTCCCTAGTACATTATAACTCAGCCGTATGAACACAGACTAGTTTAAAAAGGCCTTGAACCTAATCCAATTACACACCTCCCTCTCTGCTTTTTGTCTTTTAATTGTTAACACAGGGAACTTAATTTATTGACCTAAAATTTGGCTCGGACAGAATATTTTTGGTTGGAAATGGTAAGATACCACTTGAGAATTCATTTTGCTCTTAAGTGAGAATAATAATGGATTTGAAGAAAATAACTAGCTGAACGAAGAGATACCAGTTGCAGCCCCACGTTTGATGCTAAATTGTTTCCAGAAATGAAATGACTTTTCCCCGGAGGCCTTCATGGGTGGAGACAGAGACTTCATGGGAGAAACATGTTCTTGGCAAATGTCATGAAAAGTGTAGCTTCACGCCACAATTTGTTAACATTTATGCTCAGAATAGTAAACCACTCCTTCCAACAAGTTGAATTTGGCAGAAATCCTATAAAAAAAAAAAAAAGTTAGGTCAGAGAGCCCTGCTCAGGAACACAAACAGAAAGACATATGTGAAGTTTCCCTCTGAGGGAATATAAACTGCCCCCCAGCCATGACTGTGTCTGTGAACGCCCTCTCATCTGCATCTCGGGAAAATACCCAGGCAGGCTCCACTGGAGAGTAGACAAGGGAGTTACAACATTGCAGCCTGCATTATTAGCAATGTCTTATGACATCCCAAACACCTAGTACTGTACGGGGGGAGGAGTATGTCAACTCATCCAAGGTGGAGAATATATACTCTTCCTACCAAGAACCGCTGACCAATCTGATAAGAAATCAGTTGAATTCCAAAAACTAGTAATGGAATGAACAAACGCTATTGATTAATTATATAGAGAGGATGGAAAAAACAACCAAAACAACAAAAACCAAAAACCAACAGGTTCTTGAACAGTTAACTTGCTCTGTAAAGGAGAGCAGAGGATATAGCTCTGAACTATATTTTTAGTATCATGCTAAGACTAATCAAGGGAGGTCAAGGTACAACAAACAGAGCGGGGCGGGGGGGGGCGCTCTGAGGAGGAAGATATTCAGAAGGCTAAAGACTGGTATAAGCCAAGGAAGGGAAAGAAGGAGGTCAGCGCTCTCCAACACAGACGTCAGCCCTCCCACCCCACCCAGGCCACCATATTCTCCCTTCCAGAATGGCTGAGTCATAACCATTTTAACCACGAGAACAAATCAGAAGAGGGAGCCTGCCCAATATATGCGTATTGTGTATAGGAAACAAAACAAAACTAAAACTAAACAAATCAAATCTCAATATGCACTAGAAGCCTCACCCGAGAAATGCAGCGGGTTCTCCTGGGGGGCGGGAGCTGTCGTGGGATTGGGATGAGGTCGGCGCTCAGTGCTCACGCAGCCTGCCCTTCTGACATTACAGCCCTGACAAGTGCACCATAGCTCTCAAGGAATCCTCTCATTAGTTTTCACCACTCTGATGTGTTAAGATAACTTATGATTATGGTTTATTTTGCAATCTCAAATCATAGAGGGTAATAATGTGAGTCTTCCAGGGATGGTTTTCTGCTATGTTTTTGCTAAATCACTTTTATCATCTTTTTAAAATTTCGAGTCATTTTTAAGTGGATTCACCTGCAAGGTCCCATGTCATATGTGATTTTCATCTCACCTGGTTGTCACCCCACCCTCCTTCCCCTAACGTAGGGGAGCCTGAGTTCCAGGGTTTAGGGGAGAGGGTCATGTCCTCAGCTTCCCAATCCTCCAACCACCTTGACCCAGGGAGTGTGGGGAGGGAGGGTGCATTACCTGCCAGAGCTTCTGTGACGAAGCACTGCAAACCAAGCTACTTTACAGAAGCGTACTCTCTCCCAGTTCTGCAGGCTGGAAGTCAGGGTGTTGGCAGGACTGGTTCCTTCCGAGGCCTCTGTCCTCGGCATATAGATGACAGCGTTTTCCCTGCGTCCTCACTTGGTCTCCCTCTGTGTATATATTTGTGTTTACATTTCCTCTTCTTGATAGTTCACCAGCCATATTGGATTAGGAGCCACCCTAATGGCTTCATTTTAACTTGTTTATCTCTGTAAAGACATACAAGGAAAGAAAGACATCCCCTCTGTCCTCCTAGGTTCCATAGCTGGGTCTATAAAATATGCTGACAATAGGCAGATTAATAGCAGAAAGATATACACATTTATTAATTTTTAATATTATGTGCACGGGGGCATCACAGGACAAAAAGTAAACACCCCAAAAGGCAGTGAGATCCGAGAGCTCATATACCATCCCAGTAGGGGACGGAAGGGTATAGAGGCATCTCAGGGGGAAGTGAACGGGTTAGGGGAGATGGCTGGGTCCACAGAGGAACAGATGGGAGAGGAACAGTTTGTGACAGTTTGCATGTGGGGTTGACTTCTCAGTTCCTCTCCTGGGACAAGAGTCAGTCTTCCTGGTTGGTGAAGCTCCTGGTGAAGAGACTGAGGACATTGAGGTCCTTTTGGAGGATTTGTTTTCAGGCAGATGAGGGGAGTTCAGAGAAAGCCTTTCCCTGCACCTTCTGTATTTCTAGTGCCTTCCGCTCAAATAACCAGTATGCCATGGCCACGCATTTGAGGTGGCACGTCCTGGACTCCCTCAGACACTATCTCCAAACACAGTCACAATTTGAGCTACTAGAGGTTAGGATTTCAACATGATTTTAGAGGGGGGCACAATTCAACCCATAACAGGAGTCATGAGATATGTGCCCCCCCACCCCAACTTCTTTTCAGAAGAAAATTTAATTGTAGTAAACACTTAACATGAGATCTACCCTCTTAATAAATTGTAAGTGTGCAACACACTGTCGTTGAGTGTAGGTACACTGTTACATAGCAGATCGCTAGAGCTTTTTCATCTTACTTGAAACATTTGCCTATTGATTAATAACTCCTCATTGCCCCCTCCCCAGCCCCTGTCAACCACCATTTCCATCTTTGATTTTATGAATCTATTTGAAGATTATCTCCTATAAGTGGAGTCACGCAGAATCTGTCCTTCTGTGTCTGGCTCATCTCACTTAGCACAACGTTCTCAACATTCGTCTGTGTTGTCTCGTACTGTAGAGCTCCCTTCTGTTTGGAAGCTGATAGTACTCCGTTTGTGTGGATACACCACATTTTCTTTATCCACGCATCAGCCTAACTCTTGTGTTAAGACTCGAAAGGGGCTTGTTTAGAGGAGGTAAGGCAAACGTCTCTTTACTTAACTGCCCACTGCAGAGTCTCCTCTCTCTTGCTTGTTATCCCCACTATAGCACTGACGGACCAGCAAGGGTCTTCGTGTGAATCGGCTGCAGGACCCCATGGCTGGATCCAGCCTGTCTTCTTGCACCCTCCTTGCTCGCACAGCCCATCACTGCTCAGTAGCTGTGGACCCTGCACATTTCAGGGCCTCTGGGAGCAATGCCAGCAAGACAATGCAAGTCTGGACCAGCAGGGATGCCACAGGCCCCTGCCACATCATAGTGGGTGCCCAGCTGCAGGTCGGCCTCTCCAGCCCAGCTTGACCGTTCCCTTTCTCGGGTACAGACAGGTCGACCCAGCTGCTGGCTATCAGCTGTCCAGGGAGAAAACGTCCACCTTTTCTATCGAAGAGTCTAGAAGCCCCTCTCCCTTGCTATAGCAAAGCAAGAAAAGCACTCATTTCCTGCTAACTCTTTATGGCAAAAGACCTTCAACAAAGATCCCTGCTCCCCTCTCCTTTTATAAAATGGACCTTGGGGTGATTATTGGGCACAGGAGGCTGGCTCATTCTCAAGAGGTTTGTGGACCTACTCATAGAGGACTTGCGTTAGGATGTGGGATTCTTAACGCTTCCCAGACTGCCCAGCTTCAGGTCCTAGCCATCAACTCCAGAGGAACAAGGAGGGTGCCGCTCAGTTTTGTATTACAAAGCGTTTTGGAAATATCCTAAGAGCACTTTCTCAAATTTATCCTGGCACTCACAAAGCACACTACAGGCTTCTATGTTCTCAGCAAAGACACTGGATTCTTTTACTAAAATGAGAGTTTTATGATGGACAGAACTGGGAAGAAATAGCACACAGAGGTATCCAAATTCTTTCTCAAATTAACCTTTCCCTTGGAGACCATCATGGCAGTTGCAGTAGGAATGACAACCAGAAGAAAGCGGGACACAATGTGACATCCAAAAGGACACAGAAGTTCTTTGCTAAGAAAAGATGTCCAGAAATCTCTTCTTTTAAGATCATGGAGTCAGGCGCCTGGGTGGCTCAGTTGGTTAAGCAACTGCCTTCGGCTCAGGTCATGATCCTGGAGTCCCGGGATCGAGTCCCGCATGGGGCTCCCTGCTCAGCGAGGAGCCTGATTCTCCCTCTGACCCTCCCCCCTCTCATGTACTCTCTCTCATTCTCGCTCTCTCAAATGAATAAATAAATCTTTAAAAAAAAAAAAAAGATCATGGAGTCATGTAGGTTGTTACATTTGAGTGAAATGTCTCCATTCCTTGAAAATCTCCTGTTCCTAAAACACAGCCTCTTAGCTTGGATTTGGACATTACTGGTAAGAAACACTTAACTGAGTATATTTGAAACTCCAACTATACTTTCCTTATCTACTAATAAGATGTTTTGACATAGTCTAAAGTTACATTTAATAATATTTTTGGGCTTTTCTAGTTTTAAACGTAGGAATTCAGGCTCATTATAAAAGATGACAAAGTTTTCACAATTGCTATATTCTGCATTGTTAAATAATTTTCAAAACGTTTGTATAATCTATCCCCAAACTAGAACTTCTCAATCTGCATTCGCATAAATGAGTCACTGGAAAGTACTACAGCTTAGGAACTAAAACAGATTTGACCATGGGCTTCTTTCGCAGTGAAATAATATTTTAATGTTAAAAAAACTATTTTAAATATCTTGTTAACACCACTTTTTACATTTTAATAACATGAAACACCATTTAAGAAACAGTGCCATGGGCGCCTGGGTGGCTCAGTTGGTTAAGCAACTGCCTTCGGCTCAGGTCATGATCCTGGAGTCCCGGGATCGAGTCCCGCATCGGGCTCCCTGCTCGGCAGGGAGTCTGCTTCTCCCTCTGACCCTCCCCCCTCTCATGTGCTCTCTCTCTCATTCTCTCTGTCAAATAAATAAATAAAATCTTTAAAAAAAAAAAAAAGAAAAGAAACAGTGCCATGAACTATATTCAGTCTATATGGTGAAGACAAGATAGTTCATAATTGGAAAGACAGCCAATGTTTTCTGAACACATTTGCATGGTTTTCAAGAATAATTGTCACCGAAGTCTTGATGTTGTTCTTTTTTTTTTTTTTGAGGTAAATATATAACTATCTGTAAAAGTACACAGTTTCATATATTATATGTTCTAGTTTTTTCAGGCTGAAACTATCGTTCAAAACATTCGGTAATGTGAAAGGAAAACTCTAGTCTTCAAAAGGTCAGCGGTTTCCCACAGGAGGGGGAGAGGGTCGATCAGTCAAACAAATAGCAGGCTTTTCTGTAATGCGTGTTTTTATGGTAACTGATTTTGTTGTAGTGAGTTATGCAAATGATTCAAATGCTCTTCTATAAGGACACCGATCCTTTCCTTAAAAGAGTTACCTACCCATTGTTTCACACAGAAAAATGTACTGATGCGTCAAAAAAATTAACTATAATACTAAAAGCAGTTATATGCATTTTATACAAATATATAAGCTAGATTTTCACAAATATTTATAAGAATTTATGAAAATATCACATGCAGTAATTAAGGATTTTAAAATAAAATTTTGGCAGGCTTTGGTTGAATAACAAGTTGATATATGTAAATACACGCTATCTGTTCATCCAATTGCTTTGGGATCATATTTTAAAATGGAGTATTTATTTCCATGGTGTCCATAGCATGATGAGTGCACTTGGTAGCTCATGTCCATGCATTTATTAGAATATAGGGCTGCGGGGCGCCTGGGTGGCTCAGTTGGTTAAGCGACTGCCTTCGGCTCAGGTCATGATCCCGGAGTCCCTGGATCGAGTCCCGCATCGGGCTCCCTGCTCGGCGGGGAGTCTGCTTCTCCCTCTGACCCTCCCCCCTCTCATGTGCTTTCTCTCATTCTCTCTCTCACAAATAAATAAATAAAATCTTTAAAAAAAAAAAAGAATATAGGGCTGCATGTCAACCAAGTGTTCGCTATCACCTGTAGCTTGCCCATTGACTTGGCTTGACCAAATCAAGGAGGCATCTCTCCTCCCCACAGGGCCCTGAACTTTGGGTAGCCTGCAAGCACAAGCAAGTACTAAGGGCAAAGAATTCCCCCTCAACTGCTCATCCTGAGAGTCTGGAACCAACTGACCACAGAAAGATTTCTAATGAAACCGCCCAATCGCACTGTCTGTTGTCCACATCACTCGCCACCCTTCCAAGTCTTATACCCCTCCTTACTCTCCCTAAAACAGACCCCTGTTTGATTTTGAGATGCGTGCAGATTGATGTGCTCTCCCTATTTCCATAGACTTTTCTAATATGTCTCTCTTCACTTAAGTCTAGATTTCTCTTAACTTGACGTCACACACACATACCTTTTAACTGCATGTAAGTGTGTATTTGACATGTTTATTAAGTGGTACTTATGTGGCCTGTGAGGTGTTAGATGAAGTATGAGAAAATGTCACAAGTAATGTATTTTTTAAAAAATGCACAAAACATTGAAGGAGGCAGTCCAGAGTGGTTAATAACAGCTTTCTAGAAGAGTTTGGACATATAGTCAGCCGTAGAGAATGTACAACTTGGCTACTTTGGTAAATAAATGGGATTGTGATTGAGCCAGAGCCCCAAAATAATGTCTGAAAATGAATAAACAAACAAAACGTGGAGCTTCTTCTGAAAGGAATAAAGGAGAACAGCGTCCATATTTAATAGATTGGTGCCTTCCCTCATTTCTTATGTATTTAGTATTTGTTATACACTTGGCACTTCACAGGAATTCAAGACCAGATGATGGTTTGAATTCGACCCAAATCGTTTTCTCTTCTCATGTTATTTTACTGAACTGGCTGACATGATAACCCTGAATTGGGAATTTTTTATTTGTGACCCTGACTTTGATAAGCATCCAAAGATATCACAAGAAACCAGTAGGTTTTAATATGGAAAAGAAGAAGGGGAAATATGAAATTGGGGAACCTGTGAGACTAAACTGTAAGCCCTTTCCCATGTATGGAGGCTGTGCTCTGTGCCAAGTTCTCGACAATGTGATCACTTCCACTAACACTCATCAGATACGGAAGATCAAACCAAGATGCCATCCCCAACACTGACTCATTTTCTCGGCAGATCCTGGCTTATTTTCCTAAAAGTGGGAGGGGAGGATGAGAAGCTCTGGTATGGGCGCAGGCCCTAGATGGGAATGAAGTAGTCATTCACTGAGTATAAGAAAGAGCCAGACCCTGAGACCAGTGGGGATGCTCTGCGAGTGGGGACAGAGCTTAGTGGACAGCAATCAGGTGGTCGTTCCACTGGCTTCAGCTCCCCAAATTGCTGTCTTGAATAAGTTCCTCTTCCTTGAAATCAAAAGACCTCACTATACACCTAAATAGCTTATTCCAACCTGCTTGGAACCTTGTGATATAAGAAACACAAGGTGCTCATTGCCAACACTGACTCTGATTTAAAGATCAAAGAAAATGTAAGATGAAGAGGATGTTTCTGTCCTAAGAAAACAGAAGCAGAGAGAATTAAGGCAGACAGTAATTGAGGGAAACTTGGACTATACTTTTTGGCTTTTGCTTTTTGCTATTTCTTCTGCTGTTCTTACTGACATGTTATCCAAAAGTAGTTCTGTTTGTCTAGCTGTTTGTAAATTTGAATCACAAGAATCAATCAAAGTCAGTTCCCTGTGCCAACCAATAGGGGAAGAAGGAATGGCTCATGCAAGATGGAATTTGACAACAACTTGGCATGCGGGAACTCGCGTGGAAGCTGTCTGGGCGGCTGTGTGTGGAAACCGTGATAGGACTAGCGCGGAACACAACAGCGTGGGCGTTGATCTGTGCCTTAGGAAAGCATGCCAATTGCACACCATCAGGTAGGAGACTCGAGATGAGGGTTTCTGATTTTGTAATGATAGCTGTTTAGGTGTCATTTCTCTAACTGTTCTTTTGGGGCATGCCAGCTGAGTCGTCGCCTCTGAGCAGTCTCCTTAGGAATGACTTGAAGATCATCAGAACTTATCTGGGTTCGTATAAATATGATCTTTCCAATATTACTGGGTGGGACTCTTCCATTGGAATTTAGAGACTCGGTCATTATTTCAAGTAACTAAGTCAAGCTGTCCCAACATAACTGTACACAGCTTTCCTGAAAACTTAATTTGTGGTGTATAGATAAATCATTACATATATAGAGTATCAGTTTTTGCTATTGTCTTCTAGCTATTTATGTTTATTGGTGTTTGTCCAGACTGGGTCATGTCCATTCCCCTCATTCACACCTGCATGTTGGAAAGGCTCATTCCCCAAAGCTGAAGGTGTCCCCTCTTGGTGGTAACAGGGCTCGGGCATGAGCACCATGGAAGGACTCACTCACCCTGTTTGCTCACCTGACCTCTACTTACTAATTTTACTAACATATCAGGGTTTCCATCTTAAATGTAAGCCCTATAAGGCTATCTTTCTGTCTGTCTGTCTCTCTCTCTCTCTCTGATTTTGATGTTTTATTTTTGTTGTTGTTGCTGCTGCTATTTTTGGGGGGTGGGCGGGGGAGGGTTGCACCACATCATGAGCCAGAATACATTTGTCCCTTTATTTTCCACCAAGATGGGAGGTTTTATTTATTGGTCTCTTGGGTACGCTTATCATTCCAAACTGGAAGTTTGGGCACTGTGATCCAGCATTACTTGGAGAGCTTTTTTTAAACGGCCACACCCTAGACCAATTAAATCAGAACCAGTGGGAGCCAGGATGCTGTAAAAGCTGCCCTGGGGAATTATGAAGTGCAGCTGATGATAACCACTGGTGAGGGTCTAGCGGTGCCATCTGCAGATCCCCAGCCAGAGAGACAAAGAGACCCGCTCTAATTCACTTCCTCTTCTTACTTCAAAGCGGTTGTGACTACACTATGGGATCAAAGGGATTTCAAGCCCCTGGGGCCATGACTGCCAGAGGGCTCACAGCTCTGTGGGCCCAAAAGGCTTTGAAGTCCATGGTGGATTGCTAGGGCAGAGAGAAGGGGTCCATTGCAGACATCAAGTCCACAGTTTGCCGAAAAAGAACTGCTTCCCATGTACCTACACAGTGGGTCTGAGGTGGGAAGAAGACCATCACCACCACTTACACTTTAATCCTGGCTCTATTAAATGTTGCCCTTTATGATAAATGAATACTTAGTGTCTCTATAAAAGTGGAGAATGACTTTCTTTTCAGCCCTTAATTAATATGTCATTAAAAGTTTATCTGAGGTAGTGGGAAAAGTTTTACGTGTTTGATTACAGAGAAAATAATGCGAAGATGAATTCATTGTCTATTAACATTCTCCCATTAATAGCTGACCTCCTATAGACATCAGGTCTCTGCAGAACATACCTTAATTCAAATATCCATTAATAACAGAAGAAAAGGGGCACCTGGGTGGCTCGGTCATTAAGCGTCTGCCTTCGGCTCAGGTCATGACCTCAGGGTCCTGGGATCGAGCCCCACGTCGGGCTCCCTGTTCCGCGGGAAGCCTGCTTCTCCCTCTCCCACTCCCCCTGCTTGTGTTCCCTCTCTCACTATGTATCTCTCTGTCAAATAAATAAATAAAATCTTTAAAAAAATTTATAAAAAAAAGAATTCTGTTAAAAAAAAAAAACAGAAGAAAAATGCAGATTCTACTTTCTAAGTCTCCAACTGTATCAAAACATAACTATGTCTGTCCAACAGAGAGAATGGGAGGAGGGATTCTACAGCTTTAGGATTGCATGTGATAATTGACCACAGGTGCTCTGTTTCCTTTTTTTTTTTTAATGAACATTTCTAGGAACACATGATTCCCCATAGTTTGGCTCTACTGTATTTTTATGCCATGATCTGTTTATTATCTAAATATTAGTATGTCAGAACTGCTAGATAAGACAGGGATTGATTACATTACATTCCTAGAAAGAGGCAAATACTTTTTTTAAAAAAAAACGTACAATAGAAAAAAACCCATAAGCAAAGTTGCCAGTTGGGCTAATGCTTGTATTTACATATCTTACAGATTTTGATCATCAGGTTATTCCTCAGCAATAAATAACTATCTTCATAATACCAGAAGCTAGAAGTAGGTTGTCAGAGTTTGGGAATATTTTGCTGAGTCTTTTTAGAAATAAAGTAATGACACAGTTTAGAAAGCAAAGCATAGGGTAATTTCACTCGAGTCAATTTTGATAATTGAAATTTAATCTATTAATGTGCATCATAGGTAAATTGTGTTTTATGAAAAGTCATCTCTCTTTTTTTTTTAAGATTTTATTTATTTATTTGACAGAGAAAGAGACAGCGAGAGAGGGAACACAAGCAGGGGAAGTGGGAGAGGGAGAAGCAGGCTTCCCGCAGAACAGGGAGCCCGATGCGGGGCTCGATCCCAGGACCCTGGGATCATGACCTGAGCCGAAAGCAGACACTTAACGACTGAGCCACCTAGGCGCCCCAGTCATCTCATTTTTAACAAATTGAAGTAACATTTTAAATACTAACAGACTGAATCCGTTATTTCTGGATATAGGAAGCCTTCATCTTTACCCAAGGCTGTTTGTTAAAAAATGCACTATAATGTAAGAGGCCTGTCTCCTACAGGTGGGAAAGGGGAAGCCAGTCCCTTTATTAACAAACTTAAGTCAAATTTGGCTAGCACTTGGAAAATGTAATGTATTTACAAAGCAAGGTAATATAAAGTAGTGACTTGATGTGGAGTCAGAAAATTGAAAGCTACCTATATCGTTCATACCTACTACTATTAGCTAATCTGGGAGAGATGTACAAACTTTTAAATGTTTTTCCTACCATCACAAGTGTAAAGGGCGAATGTTCTGCTGAGCAGAAGCTACAGGACAAATACTTCACACCTTTCCAGCTATTACAACGATGACTAAGCAGGGTTGTGTTTTATCTACTTCCAGCCAACTTTACAACGTAGCTGAGATTTTGGCAGAATCCTTATACTTGATTAAGTGTCTGCAGTACTTAGATTTGGCGCAGACAAGTGATTTCCCCAAGGCCCTAAGCTGGAAAAATGGTGCGCGACAGGCAGGACTGACTTTTCCTGGCTCTGGTTCCCAGGCCTCAGGTTTGGACACGGGATCTTTTGGAGATTTAATCCACAATGCCCCAGAAGACCATTGTCTGCTGCAGCCGTATGGTGTAGGGCAGAACCTCTCCCACATGTGTGCGTCTGCATCATCTGGGATGGTGTCACGTGCAGATTCTGAACCGGAGGTCAGGTGGGAGCTGATCCTGAGCATTTTAACAGGTTCCCAGGTGGCACAAATGCTGCCCACAGACCACAGCTTGAGTTGCAAGAGTGAGGTTCTGTGGAAGAGCTAGGAGCCTCGCCGCCTCCTCATTCTTGGAAGTCAGGACTTCTGAGTACGAAGCCTGGCGGTAGGGGCTGGCTGGGCACCTCAACGAGGCTGTTTGACTTCCATAAGCCTGGATTCCTCACTTACAAATGGGAATGGCAGTACTCACTACTCAGACATGATTCTGAAAATCAGCTGAGATACTACGTGAAACCGAAATCACAGAGAATGAGAAACAGGAGGCATTTAATACACACTAAAATTCTTCCTCGGCTTTGAAAGGAACAAATTAGTTTGCTATCAAGGGAAGATGGTCAAAATAATACCACATCATAATTTCCCTTGTCTTGGAGAATTTACTCCTATATATGTTTATTTTTTCCCATAATAATATGCAGGAAATACATTACATTTTCCAAGTGCTAGCCAAATTTGACTTAAGTTTGTTAACATACTAAATCACTGACAGACAGAGGTCATCCTGACGCTTCTCTGGTCTCGGTCAAAGTGAACACTGGATCACCAAGAGAGCTCTTTCCATTAGATGTGGTGGCATTGTGCCGAATACATTCTCTTATGCTGTTTGATGACTTTTCATATGCCTGGGGAAAAAATTATTTTTTCCTTTTGGATATGTTTTTCTCATAATAAAAACTCCCTCTAAAACTGAAGGCAAAATTTACTTTAATGTGGAAATATATTCCAGCTTGAGAATGAATCAACGCCACATTTTTTTCCACGGAATGAAAGCATGATGTCATTAAGCTTTTGTGTGTTTTCACAGATGTTCGTCCCCTTTTGTCTGGATGTGAACTATCAGGACCACATTTTGCAGCCATATATTTTGTATGTACAGGTTGAAGCTAGAAATCAGGGAGAATTTTGGCTGAAATTTTCAGCTGCCTAAATTTCTATTTTTGGTAATTTTGCCCACCCTTAAAGCAAATATTTGGAACGTATCTATGCTGAGTGGCCTTTCCCGGCTGGTGATGGAACTTTTAGGACAAAGTGAACACACTGTTTCTGCTCCCTGTGCCCAGAGGGTGGGGACAAGGCCATTTTTCTCTTTAAATAGTCACAGATTGTATCACTAACCTTTGTGACCTTTCCTAATGATCCATGCCCATAACTTCAGCTTTGGAATACTGACAAGTTCAACTCTGACTAGTGTGACCTTTAAAAACATATGTTTTTACTCCTTAGCATTTTTCCCCATAAAAATGTCTGGCAGTAAGTGTCCACTCACCCCCCCTCCCCATTATGTAAATGAAAATAAATGATCTTGATCTCTTAAAAAAAGAAAACAAGAGTGCATAGTCTTGAATGATGTAGTCCTAGCTTACACACCATCTTTGCTAAATCTATGTATTAGAGTTAGTCCGTAAGAAACACAGATTTATATGTTTTAATATAACTTTGTCCCTAAGCATTTTTGTACCTCTTCTATCATTGGTTGGTATCTATGTGGCTCAAGACAGAAATGGAAAAGAAAATTTAACGGACAGAATCTAAAACAGGGGTAAGATGATTCCAGCTATGGCATAGTGGAA